TACTGGTAGCAACGTAGAGGATATATAAATACTGGTAGTAACGTAGAGGATATATAAATACTGGTAGCAACGTTGAGGATATATAAATACTGGTAGTAACGTAGAGGATATATAAATACTGGTAGCAACGTAGAGGATATATAAATACTGGTAGCAACGTAGAGGATATATAAATACTGATAGCAACATAGAGGATATATAAATACTGGTACCAACGTAGAGGATATATGAATACTGGTAGTAACGTAGAGGATATATAAATACTGGTAGTAACGTAGAGGATATATAAATACTGGTAGTAACGTAGAGGATATATAAATACTGGTAGTAATGTAGAGGATATATAAATACTGGTAGTAACGTAGAGGATATATAAATACTGGTAGTAACGTAGAGGATATATAAATACTGGTAGTAACGTAGAGGATATATAAATACTGGTAGTAACGTAGAGGATATATAAATACTGGTAGTAACGTAGAGGATATATAAATACTGGTAGTAACGTAGAGGATATACATGTATAAATACTGGTAGTAACGTAGAGGATATATAAATACTGGTAGTAACGTAGAGGATATATAAATACTGGTAGTAACGTAGAGGATATACATGTATAAATACTGGTAGTAACGTAGAGGATATATAAATACTGGTAGTAACGTAGAGGATATATAAATACTGGTAGTAACGTAGAGGATATATAAATACTGATAGCAACATGCCCTCGCTGCTGCAGCAGGATGAGGAGGAGGAGGATGAGGAGGAGGATGAGGAGGAGGAGGATGAGGAGGAGGAGGATGAGGAGGAGGAGGAGGATGAGGAGGAGGATGAGGAGGAGGAGGAGGATGATGATGATGATGATGATGATGATGATGATGATCATGATCATGATGATGATCATGATGATGATCATGATGATGATCATGATGATGATCATGATGATGATCATGATGATCATGATGATGATGATCATGATCATGATGATGATGATGATGATGATGAGGATGAGGATGATGAGGATTATTATTATTATTCCCAAGTAGCCTATTGAATCGAAAACCTCTTGTAGCTTTAAAGTGTGCATGACACTGACCCACACCCACTCGGGTACTACCTGAGTGTGTGTCATGCACACTTTAAACCCTGAATATGTAAATAAAGGCAGGCAGAGGATGTACAAATATTGAAGTCCCTCTGAATTTGTATACTATAAACATTATTTCCAGTATCTTTAAAATTTAGCCCTGATAGTAAGTTTATTTAGGTACAGGTATATATAAGCACATTATCATACATTGTAAATTGACTAGAATGTGCAGTGTCGCCATGGTTGTTTAATATACATGTATATATATATATAGGTGGGGTTGTAAATGAAGTAAATGCTAGGGTGTTGGGGAGAGGGGTGGATGGGGAATCAAATACAAAATGGAAGTTAACAAAGTTACTTTTTGTTGATGATACTGTGCTTTTGGGAGATTCTAAAGAAAAGTTGCAAAGGTTAGTGGATGAGTTTGGGAGGGTATGTAAAGGTAGAAAGTTGAAAGTGAACATAGATAAAAGTAAGGTGATGAGGGTATCAAACGATTTAGATAAAGAAAAATTGGATATCACGTTGGGGAGAGGGAGTATGGAAGAAGTGAATGTTTTCAGATGTTTGGGAGTTGACTTGTCAGTGGATGGGTTTATGAAAGATGAGGTTAACCATAGAATTGATGAAGGAAAAAATGTGAGTAGTGCATTGAGGTATCTCTGGAAACAAAAATTATTATCCATGGAGACAAAGAAGGGAATGTACGAAAATATAATGGTACCAACACTCTTATATGGGTGTGAAGCTTGGGTTGTAAATGCTGTGGCGAGGAGGTGGCTGGAGGCAGTGGAAATGTCATGTCTAAGGGCAATGTGTGGTGTAAATATTATGCAGAGAATTCGGAGTGTGGAAATTAGGAGGAGGTGTAGAGTTACTAAAAGTATTAGTCAGAGGGCTGAAGCGGGTTTGTTGAGGTGGTTTCTTCATTTAGAAAGAATGGAACAAAGTAGAATGACATGGAGAGTTTAAATCGGTAGGGAAAGCAAGGCGGGGTAGGGGTCGTCCTCGAAAAGGTTGGAGGTGGGGGGTAAAGGAGGCTTTGTGGGCGAGGGGCTTGGACTTCCAGCAAGCATGCGTGAGCGTGTTAGATAGGAGTGAATGGAGACGGATGGTTTTTGGGATCTGACAAGCTGTTGGAGTATAAGCATGTTAATATTTTGTGAAGGGATTCAGGGAAACCAGTTAGCCGGACTTGAGTCCGGGAAATGGGAAGTACAATGACTGCACTTTAACCACTTGACTGTCGCAACCCCTAATCCTGAGGTGTCTCCTGGTGTCGCAGAATTTAAAAAAAAAAATATTTTTTCTTATGAAATGATAGAGAATCTTTTCCCGATTGCAATGACACCAAAAAAAACGAAATTTGATGGAAAACTGACGGAATTATGCTCTTGCAAAATTAGCAACCTCGGCGATATTTACAAATCGGCGATTTCGCCCACTTTGAGCCCTATTTTCGGCTAATTCCGTTGTTCCAGTCGCCCAAACTCATAGCTATTTCTTTAGAACTCCATTTTTTCTATTGATTGAGTACAAGAAACTGCCCATTTATTGATTTCAACTACCCAATAATGTGGTCAGAAATTTGCAATTTGGCCAATTTCACGAAAATTAAAAAATATGACAATTTCAAAATAAGGTCCAGAATGAACAATGCAGACATTCCTGGCTCTAAAATAACATTTTCTTTGTTCATCGGTCATGTCTCCAGGCCCCTCTGATATTACTCTTGCTTTCTATTTTGAATTTTTATTCAAACAAAAAATAGAAGACTTACTATTATGCAGACTACTGCAATACTGTAATAATTGTATAAATAACATCAACCCATTCATGACTGCATATTAGAATGGCTAGTTGGACATTTATTGGACAATGACATCATGTTTACTTTTGAACATTGGCAAAAATCAAACATTTCCCCTACTTTGAGCTCCATTTCCAGGTTCTTTTTATTATTTTTTTTTATTATCACACTGGCCGATTCCCACCAAGGCAGGGTGGCCCGAAAAAGAAAAACTTTCACCATCATTCACTCCATCACTGTCTTGCCAGAAGGGTGCTTTACACTACAGTTTTTAAACTGCAACATTAACACCCCTCCTTCAGAGTGCAGGCACTGTACTTCCCATCTCCAGGACTCGAAGTCTGGCCTGCCGGTTTCCCTGAACCCCTTCATAAATGTTACTTTGCTCACACTCCAACAGCACGTCAAGTATTAAAAACCATTCGTCTCCATTCACTCCTATCAAACACACTTATGCACGCCTGCTGGAAGTCCAAGCCCCTCGCACACAAAACCTCCTTTACCCCCTCCCTCCAACCTTTCCTAGGCCGACCCCTACCCCGCCTTCCTTCCACTACAGACTGATACACTCTTGAAGTCATTCTGTTTCGCTCCATTCTCTCTACATGTCCGAACCACCTCAACAACCCTTCCTCAGCCTTCTGGACAACAGTTTTGGTAATCCCGCACCTCCTCCTAACTTCCAAACTACGAATTCTCTGCATTATATTCACACCACACATTGCCCTCAGACATGACATCTCCACTGCCTCCAGCCTTCTCCTCGCTGCAACATTCATCACCCATGCTTCACACCCATATAAGAGCGTTGGTAAAACTATACTTTCATACATTCCCCTCTTTGCCTCCAAGGACAAAGTTCTTTGTCTCCACAGACTCCTAAGTGCACCACTCACCCTTTTCCCCTCATCAATTCTATGATTCTCCTCATCCTTCATAGACCCATCCGCTGACACGTCCACTCCCAAATATCTGAATACATTCACCTCCTCCATACTCTCTCCCTCCAATCTGATATCCAATCTTTCATCACCTAATATTTTTGTTATCCTCATAACCTTACTCTTTCCTGTATTCACTTTTATAGTAAAATCAATCAAAATCACCTCTATTTCTATAATATGTTTTCCATTCTATCAAATGAGACCAAGAAAACGAGAATACAACCATAAATACTGTAAGAAAATAGACCACAAAGTCGACATTTTAATTAAAAAAAATGGTCGGAGTTTTTTTTTTCTCATTATGCACTGCGTGCTCCAGGATTTTTTTTATATGGTGCACACTGACCACACAGACCCATTCTCTCACATGTTGGCCTACCGGCTTTCTCCTTCTTGATTTGAAGCCGCTAGAATTTATGAGTATATATACGTCAAACACGGTACCTCGTAAGACGTATATATATATACGGCCGCGACAGTCAAAGGGTTAAAGGAGGGATTTGGGATATTGGCAGTTTGGAGGGACTTCTAGACTGTCATATCTGAGCGCCTTTGCAATGACAGTGATTGTGTATGAGTAATGGTGAAAGTGTTGAATGATGATGAATGTATTTTTCTTTTTTTCTTTTTTAGGGGGGGATCTTTTTAGGTCACCCTGCCTCTGTGGGAAATGGCCGATGTGTAAAAAAAAAAAAATTAAAGTGACTTATTTCCATTGGGGTCCTTGATGCTTAGGTGGTGTTGGAAGTGACATTGATCGTTGGAACTGCTAAAAGTTGGAGCTGGAGTAAGACAGATCCAGTAGGTGGAGTAAGACAAAGATCCAGTAGGTGGAGTAAGACAAAAATCCAGTAGCTGGAGTAAGACAAAGATCCAGTAGCTGGAGTAAGACAAAGATACAGTAGCTGGAGTAAGACAAAGATCCAGTAGCTGGAGTAAGGCAAAGATCCAGTAGCTGGAGTAAGACAAAGATACAGTAGCTGAAGTAAGACAAAGATACAGTAGCTTTTGCTTCCCAAATTGTTTCATGACATTGGATGGCAAAAGATTAAAATTGTTAAATATAGTTTTTTTTTTTTTTAAATAAATTAGGTTGTCATTAATTATTTTAATACTATTCACTGGTTAATATTCTTCCATCTACTTTTTCCAGCTGGTGGTAGTCCTGCTGCTTATGTGGGCACACCAAGCCCTGGCACAGGTTACCAAGGCTCTCCATCACCAGGCTCTGGAGGGTATGCCTCACCCTCACCATTAGCTTCATACAGCCCCATGACACCAGGTGCACCTTCTCCATACAATCCTCAAACACCAGGTGCAGGTGAGTTGTTGTAATACATTGTTTATCAAGATAAATGAGTTTTTGCATATTGTTTATCAGAAATATGACTTTTCATTGTACAGTATTCATATTCATTTACTGTATTCGTCTCTTAGGCGAGCTACAGTACTTCATTTACTTAAAGAAATGCAAGACTTCCTTATTTTGTTTATATACTTAAGCTTTTCATCGACTGCATTTAAACTTCAGATATGTGCAGTACTGTTTTGAGTCTTGGTTGGCATTTATAGCCTCTAATGTGCAGTTATTGTAAAATATCATTAATGTTTGTTCCCATCAGGTATGGACTCCTTGGGCATGCAAGATTGGCAGACAACAGATATTGAAGTGAGGATCAAGGACACCCACGATGATTCTGGTCTCATTGGACAAACTGGTATTATCCGAAGTTTATCGGTAAGAAATGTTTTATTAAATTATTTTTGTTTCTAGGGGTGAAATCTGCATGTCCATTCATTTGTCAGATTGTCATTTTTACCTATTTATAAATTTAATAGTGTGTGTAGGCACTTAACCAGATATTATGAAGAGGTATTGGGTAATAAGGGTCATATACTCTGTATGTTTGGTAGGATGGTATCACCAGTTTTTAATATAATTTGCATTGTGTTCATTGCTTGATCTGTTCCACTTGCCAGATTTTGAAAACTTTACAACAATTTTTTAGGGGTTGCACATGAGCTTAACAGATTGTCAACTACTGGTAACTATGCTGAGCTCATGTACAGTCCCTAAAATTGCAGTAATTCCTGAAGAATTTGACAGTAGGTTTGTTTCATAAGATGGAACAGAATAAGCAGTGAGTGTATTGTAGATTTAGAGAAAATGTTAAAATTATCCCAATAGTCGAATATCCAGCAGGTGTATGTGAGCGCATTAGAAGTGAGTGGAGGCAAATGGTGTATGGGACTTGATGAGTTGTTGGAGAGTGAGCAAGGTAACATTTTGTGAAGGGATTCAGTGAAACTTGTTAGCTGGACTTGAGTCCTGGAGATGGGAAATACAGTGCTTGTACTCTGGAGGAGGAGTGGGGATATTTGCAGTTTGAAGAGTTATCTGAATTGTCGTATCTGCATTGGCATCTGAATTATCATATCTGCATTGGCATTTATACCCAAACCATGGGGAAATATCAGCTTTCTCTTAGGATATGACATGATACCCTTTACATTACTTCTTATCCTTTCTCAGATGTCCCCTACACTTTCTACCTACCCTTCTCAATATTCTGTTTTTCTCCGCTACTTGACAGGCAATTTCAGCATTCCTTCTTTCACTCAGAATTATACTCTTCATGCCATCTTCTAATTTCTTACTAGTACATGTACTTAATTCTCTGCATAACATTCACACTACACACAAATCTTAGACATTTCCACTACCTCAGCTTCCTGCTGCTGCATTTGATGGTTATGCTTTACACCCAAAACAAAAAAAGTGTTGGTGCCACTATACTATAAATACTCTGATAGTCATTTTTTAATTTGACACATTTTTCTTTCCATATTCCATAACATATGCAACTTGTTTCTTTCATCTATTCAGCAATTTATTTTATCTTACTTTTTTTTTTTTTCTCAACAAGTCGGCCGTCTCCCACCGAGGCAGGGTGACCCAAAAAAGAAAGAAAATGCTTTCATCATCATTCAACACTTTCACCACACTCACACATTATCACTGTTTTTGCAGAGGTGCTCAGAATACAACAGCTTAGAAGCATATACGTATAAAGATACACAACATATCCCTCCAAACTGCCAATATCCCAAACTCCTCCTTTAAAGTGCAGGCATTATACTTCCCATTTCCAGGACTCAAGTCCGACTATATGAAAATAACTGGTTTCCCTGAATCCCTTCACTAAATATTACCCTGCTCACACTCCAACAGATCGTCAGGTCCCAAGTACCATTCGTCTCCATTCACTCCTATCTAACACGCTCACGCACACTTGCTGGAAGTCCAAGCCCCTTGCCCACAAAACCTTCCTTACCCCCTCTCTCCAACCCTTTTGAGGACGACCCCTACCTCGCCTTCCTTCCCCTATAGATTTATATGCTTTCCATGTCATTCTACTTTGATCCATTCTCTCTAAATGACCAAACCACCTCAACAACCCCTCTTCTGCCCTCTGACTAATACTTTTGTTAACTCCACACCTTTTCCTAATTTCCACACTCCGAATTTTCTGCATAATATTTACACCACACATTGCCCTTAGACAGGACATCTCCACTGCCTCCAACCGTCTCCTCGCTGCTGCATTTACGACCCAAGCTTCACACCCATATAAGAGTGTTGGTACTACTATACTTTCATACATTCTCTTCTTTGCCTCCATAGATAATGTTTTTTGACTCCACATATACCTCAATGCACCACTCACCTTTTTTCCCTCATCAATTCTATGATTAACCTCATCCTTCATAAATCCATCCGCCGACACGTCAACTCCCAAGTATCTGAAAACATTCACTTCTTCCATACTCCTCCTCCCCAATTTGATATCCAATTTTTCTTTATCTAAATCATTTGATACCCTCATCACCTTACTCTTTTCTATGCTCACTTTCAACTTTCTACCTTTACACACATTCCCAAACTCATCCACTAACCTTTGCAATTTTTCTTTAGAATCTCCCATAAGCACAGTATCATCAGCAAAAAGTAAGTGTGTCAATTCCCATTTTGAATTTGATTCCCCATAATTTAATCCCACCCCTCTCCCGAACACCCTAGCATTTACTTCTTTTTACAACCCCATCTATAAATATATTAAACAACCATGGTGCCATTACACATCCCTGTCTAAGACCTATTTTTACCGGGAAGTAGTCTCCCTCTCTTCTACACACCCTAACCTGAGCCTCGCTATCCTCATAAAAACTCTTTACAGCATTTAGTAACTTACCACCTATTCCATATACTTGCAACATCTGCCACATTGCTCCCCTATCCACTCTAATCATAAGCCTTTTCAAAAATCCATAAATGTAATAAAAACTTCCCTACCTTTATCTAAATACTGTTCACATATATGCTTCAATGTAAACACTTGAGCTACACATCCCCTACCCACTCTAAAAACCTCCTTGCTCATCCGCAATCCTACATTCTGTCTTACCTCTAATTCTTTCAATTATAACCCTACCGTACACTTTTCCTGGTATACTTAATAAACTTATTCCTCTATAATTTTTACAATCTCTTTTGTCCCCTTTCCCTTTATATAAAGGGACTATACATGCTCTCCGCCAATCCCTAGGTACCTTCCCCTCTTTCATACATTTAATAAACAAAAGTACCAAACACTCCAACACTATATCCCCCCCTGCTTTTAACATTTCTGTCATGATCCCATCAGTTCCAGCTGCTTTACCCCCTTTCATTCTACGTAATGCCTCGCGTACCTCCCCCACACTTGCATTCTGCTCTTCTTCACTCCTAAAAGATGGTATACCTCCCTGACCAGTCCATGAAATTACCGCCTCCCTTTCTTCCTCAACATTTAAAAGTTCCTCAAAATATTCTCGCCATCTACCTAATACCTCCCTCTCCCCATCTACTAACTCCCCTACTCTGTTTTTAACTGACAAATCCATACTTTCCCTAGGCTTTCTTAACTTGTTTAACTCCAAAATTTTTTCTTATTTTCATAAAAATTTCTTGACAGTGCCTCTCCCACTCTATCATCTGCTCTCCTTTTGCACTCTCTCACCACTCTCTTCACCTTTCTTTTATTCTCCATATACTCTGCTTTTCTTATAACACTTCTGCTTTGTAAAAACCTCTCATAAGCTAACTTTTTCTCTTTTATCACACCCTTTACTTCATCATTCCACCAATCACTCCTCTTTTCCACCTGCCCCCACCCTTCTATAACCACAAACTTCTGCCCCACATTCTAATACTGCATTTTTTAAAAACTATTCCAACCCTCTTCAACCCCCCCACTACTCATCTTTGCACTAGCCCACCTTTCTGCCAACAGTCGCTTATGTCTCCCCCGAACTTCCTCCTCCCTTAGTTTATACACTTTCACCTCCCTCTTACTTGTTGTTGCCACCTTCCTCTTTTCCCATCTACCTCTTACTCTAACTGTAGCTACAACTAAATAATGATCCAATATATCAGTTGCCCCTCTATAAACATGTACATCCTGAAGCCTACCCATCAACCTTTTATCCACCAATACTTAATCTAACAAACTACTTTCATTACGTGCTACATCATACCTTGTATATTTATTTATCCTCTTTTTCATAAAATATGTATTACTTATTACCAAATCTCTTTCTACACATAGCTTAATTAAGGGCTCCCCATTTACAGTTACCCCTGGCACCCCAAATTTACCTACTACTCCCTCCATAACATTTTTACCCACTTTAGCATTGATATCCCCAACCACCATTACTCTCACACTTGATTCAAAGCTCCCCACGCATTCACTCAACATTTCCCAAAATCTCTCTCTCTCCTCTACATTTCTTTCTTCTCCAGGTGCATACATGCTTACTATAACCCACTTTTCACATCCAATCTTTATTTTACTCCACATAATCCTTGAATTAATACATTTATAGTCCCTCTTTTCCTGCCATAGCTTATCCTTCAACATTATTGCTACTCCTTCTTTAGCTCTAACTCTATTTGAAACCCCTGACCTAATCCCATTTATTCCTCTCCATTGAAACTCTCCCACCCCCTTCAGCTTTGTTTCACTTAAAGCCAGGACATCCAGCTTCTTCTCATTCATAATATCCACAATCATCTCTTTCTTATCATTTGCACAACATCCACGCACATTCAGACTTCCCACTTTGACAATTTTCTTCTTCTTATTCTTTTTAGTAATCTTTACAGGAAAAGGGGTTACTAGCCCATTGTTCCCGGCATTTTAGTTGACTTTTACAACACGCATGGCTTACGGAGGAAAGATTCTTATTCCACTTCCCCATGGATATAAAAGGAAAAGTAATAAGACCAAGAACTATTAAGATAAAATCAAAGAAAACTCAGATGAGTTTGTATAAATAAACGTGTACATGTATGTGTTGTGTGACCTAAGTGTAAGTAGAAGTAGCAAGACATACCTGTAATCTTGCATATTTATGAGACAGACAAAAGACACCAGCAATCCTACCATCATGTAAAACAATTACAGGCTTTTGTTTTACATTCACTTGGCAGGACGGTAGTACCTCCCTGGGTGGTTGCTGTCTACCAACCTACTATGTGTAGATATATCATTTTCACATAGCTTGTTATTTTCACTTCATCTGTACTCCTTCCATTCCAACCTTTAATCTTCTCCTTTCTCACATATCTACTTATTCTCACCATTGTTTTCTTCATTTAGGTAGGGTGTATTTTTAAGAATGAAGTTTATGGCTGTAGGAATGGAAGTGCAGGGGTGAAGAGAAATAATAGGTGAAATGTATATTGAAGATAACATTAGATAACTCCATGGGAAAGTGGAACAGAATACTTCCTCTGTAAGCCATACATGTCATAAGAGGCAACTAAAATGCCTGTATACATTACTAAAGTTATGAAAAGAAACTTTTGTTTTTCTTTTTGGGCGACCCTGCCTCGGTGGGATACGGCCAGTTTGTTGAAAGAAGAATATTAGACAGTTGGTTTTTGGGACTTGACGAGCTGTTGGAGTGTGAACAGGGCAATATTTTGTGAAGGGATTCAGGGAAACTGGTTAGCCACACTTGGGTCCTGGAGGTGGGAAGTACAATGTCTGCACTTTAAAAGAGGGGTTTGGGATATTTGCTGTTTGGATTGAAATCTGAACAGTCGTATTTGAGCGCCACTGCAAAGACAGTAAGGGTGTGTGAATGATGGTGAAAATTTTGAATGATGGCGAAAGTTTCTTTTTTTGGATCACCCTGCCTTGGTGGGAGGCAGCTGACGTGTTGAAAAAAAATGTACAGGAAAGAGTTGTCATAAGAAATATTTTACCAGTATTATAGTAGTACAAGAAAGGTAAACTATGGAAAAAGTAGAAGGTATGCCATGTAAAAAAAAGAAGAAAGATAAACTACATGCAAAAGACAAACAAGTGAAATATATGTAAAAGAAGAAAAGTAAATTATGTAAAAAAGTATTTACCAATACTAGGAGTGAGAACTAAAGGACCAAGTAAATCTTATCAAGATGGAACTTGTGAGATTCTGGGAAAACTGTGTGGGTTGTGCCATCTATCTTAACTAAGTGCCTTCTTCAGTTTAAACCAATAGATTTGGAACAAACTGACAGGGTCTAGATCAGATGAAGTAGATTTATTGAATCAGGTGTCTGAAGCAAAAGAATGCACAACAGTTGTGGGGCTGTACCAGTTTGGTATCTGTTAATTTACCATATGAAAGCTATTTTAGTGGGCATTGAGAAAATACAGGAGTTTTTTATTTTTCTTAATGAAAATTATAAATCTGTTCTTTTACTCTGAAAAATTTACATTTTTAATTTTTTAATTTCAATTGCTAAATTTTTTGTTCAGAAAATTTTAAATAAGAGATGCACTACAGTGTAAGTGAATGGCGTCAGTTCAAATTTCATAGCACTTAGTCTCCAAATTTCATAGCAAATACTGTTCAAATTTCATAGCAGTTGCTGTACAGATTTAATAGCAATTACTGTACAAATTTCATAGCAATTACTGTACAAATTTCATGGCAATTACTGTACAAATTAACAAAAGTAATGTGGCCATAATATAATCTTCATCTAATATATTCATTTGCATTGCTTTCCACTGTCACTATTAAGAATGTATTGAATGTATGGGAGGGCTCCGCTTTACAGCATTTCTCTAATACAGCGGTTTTTCAGTTATACCCATTCTTCATTTATTCAGACTTCCTACAATGAATATATACACCACTTGCTATGAGCTAAGGATGAAAATATTTTAAGGTAAGTAATGAGTGTACTGTATATGCATTTTTTAGACCTAGTTTTATTGCTCACTTAAACCAGAAATACAGTTGCAATTTTTTTCTCATTATGCACGGTTTGCTGCAGGATATTTGTTATATGGTGCACCTTTACCACACAGAGCCATTCTCTCATATCTAGGTCCAAATTTACCACTCACAGCTTATCGGAGTGAGCTGAGCTCATCACGTAGTACTACGGCACAGAACCTGGCTTTAACCCTTTCAGGGTCCACAGGCCCTCTCAGAGACTTGTTCTCAGGGTCCCCCAAATTTCCCCCCCAAAAAAAAAAAATCTTATGAAAAAAATAGAGAATCTTTTCCCGATCATAATGACACCAAAAGTATGAAATTTGATGGAAAACTTACGGAATTATGCTCTTGCGAAGTTAGTGGTCTCGATGATGTTTATGTATCGGCAATTTTGCTCACTTTGAGCCCTATTTTCGGCCAATTCCAATGTACTAGTTGACAAAAATCATAACTATTTTGCTAGAACTCCATTTTTTCAATCGAATGAGTACAAGAAACCACCAATTTACCGATTTCAACTATCCAATACAGTGGTCAGAATTTAGCAATTTTGCCAATTTCACACAAATTTCAAAAGATGCCAATTTCCAAATAGGGTCCAGAATAAACAAGAAAGACATTCCTGGCACTAAAATAACATTTCCTCTGTTCATTAGTCATGTCCCCAGGCCCCTCTTACATTTCTTTTGCTTTCCACTTTGAATTTTTATTCTCACAAAAAAAACAAGATTTACTGTTATGCAGACTACTGCATTAGTGTAGAAATGGTATAAATAATATCGGCGCACTTGTAAAAGAATATTAGACTCACCAGTTGACGTGTATTGGATGCTTAGCATGATTTGTTTACCTTTGAACTTTGGTAAAAATCGAACATTTCTGCTACTTTGAGCTCAATTTCAAGGTACTTTTCATTGTAAAACCAGTCAGAATCATCTCAATTTCTGTAATATATCTTCCATTCTATACAATGAGACCAGGAAAACTAGAATACAACAATAAATACAGTGCGAAAATATAGTGCAAAGTCGCTGTTTTAATCCAGAAACACGGTCAAAGTTTTTTTTTGTCATTACGCACTGTGTGCTGCAGGATTTTTTTTATACTACGCACACTGATCACATAGACCCATTCTTTCATATGTAGGCCTACCAGCTTTCTCTCACTAGATTTGAAGGCAATAGAATTTATGCATACTGTACGTCATGAACACTGGCGTGTAAGCCATACTAGTACAGCCGAAACCCTGAAAGGGTTAAACCCGTAGAACAATGGCACAGACCCTCAAATGGTTAATATATGATAGTGTAAACGTGTTATCAGGCTTTTATATGGATTTGAAAGTGGAAAAAAGGCTTGTTTCACTTTACAGAAATTTCTCACTTACAGCAGTAGCAGCCCAGAACCTAACCTGCTGTATAAGCAGGGCCCTCCTGTATTCTGGCAAGACAATGATGGAATGAGTGATGGTGAAAGTGTTTCTTTTTTTTTTGGGGGGGGGCACCATACTTTGGTGGGAGACTGCCAGTGTACTAATTCATTCAAAATGGAGAGCAGTTATAATATAGGAGAGGGCTAAGGAAGTGATTAATGAATAGGGAAAATGTTGCTTTAATGTCTGGAATGTCCACAGTACAGCCTCTCCTCTTTAGCAATGTACTACTCGTTTACTGACGACTTGGACTTACGACAGACTTTCTAACCAGTATGCATACCTAAAATACAGTGGACCCCCGAGTTTTGTGATTAATCTGTTCCAGAGAGTCTGCCGAAAGTTGAAATTCACGAAACTCGAAACCACTTTCCCCATAAGAAATAATGTAACTCCAATTAATCCGTTCCAAACACCCAAAAGTATTAACAAAAATTACTTTTTTTTATAGATTAAATATAGATTTACATACAAAAAAGAATGAGAAATCAAGTATAAAACGAGAACATCACACTTACCTTTATTGAAGACTCTTGATGGTGTATGGAACATAAGAAAGCAGGAACACTGCAGCAGACCTTTTGGCCCATACTAGGCAGGTCCTTCACAAACCATCCCACTAACATAATATTTGCCCAACCCAATTTTCAATGTTCCCCAAGCAATTAGCTTTGATAATTCTATTCACTCATGTGCAAGTCTTACTCAAACCAAGTTGTGTGTGTGGGGAAGTACCCTGGCTGGTGTGTTCTTTCTTGAATTCTATCGTGTAGGTGTAGGAAAACTCAAAACTGGTCACAGGTATATCACAAGTGCTACCTTGGTGAAATATGGTTTGTATGTTAAAAATAAAAATAATGAATGTTGTAGATTCCTCTTTAATCATAATTTTTGTGCCAACAGGGTGGAATGTGCTCTGTATTCTTGCCAGAGGAAGAACGTGTTGTCAACTTCTCCTGTGAGACGCTGGAGCCCATCACACCAGAACAAGGCGATCGTGTCAAAGTAAGTTTTGCAAATTGTGTGACTTTGTATTTGTGTATTTTTCAAAAGTATTTTGTACTGATTACTTATTGAGATTTAGTTTGCACTGGCAATGCTGTTTTAACCCTTTCAGGGTCCAGAGGCCAAATTTCAAAGTGTGCACCAGTGTCCAAGAATTTTCAAAAAATAATTTTGTTATTTTTTCCTATGAAATGGTAGAGAATCTTTTTCTGAAGGTAATAAAACAAAAAGTATGACATTTGATGGAAAATTGACGAAATTATGCTCTCGCGAATTTTGATGTGTCAGCGATATTTACGCATCGGCAATTTTGCCGAGTTTGACTCCCATTTTAGGCCAATCACGTGATTCCAGTTGACCAAATTCTTAGCTATTTCACTAGTAATACTTGTATTTTATCGATTGAGCACAAGAATTCGCCAAGTCAATTGTTTCAACTACAAAATAAAGTGATTGGAAATTGGTAATTTGGCCAATTTAATGCAAAGTTCAAAATATTCCAATTTGAAAATAGGGTCCAGAATAAACAATGCAGGCATTCCTGGCACTAAACTAACATTTCCTCTGTTTGTTAGTTATGTTTTCAGGCTTTACTAATGAATTCCATTTTGATTTTTTATTCACATAATGAATTTTTGATCAAACCAAAAAATTAGAAGATTTACTGTTATGCAGTATTGTAATAATTGTATAAATAATATCACTACATTTGTGAATGTACATTAGACCCACCAGCAGGTGTGTATTAGACGTGTGAGGTCATTTGTTTACTCTTGAACATCAGCAAAAATTTAACATTTCCACTACTTGGAGCTCGGTTTCAAGCCATTTCCAGTACTAAAATCAATCAAAATCATCTCTATTTCTGTAATATATCTTCCATTCTATCAAATGACACCAAGAAATCGCAAATACAGTGGTCTCTCGTTTTTCGTAATTAATCCGTTCCTGGAGGAGCTACTATAAACGAAATTTACGATTTGCGAATCAATTTTCCCCATAAGAAATAATGTAAATACAATTAATCCATTCCTGACACCGAGAAGTATTAAAACAAAAAAAAAATTTTACATGAAATATACATGTAGTACATAAACAATACAATGAGAAATGATGAATGAAACATTAACAGCATAACACTTACCTTTATTGGAGATTCTTCTTAGTGTATGGGAGACTGGAGGAGGAGAGAGAGTGGATTGTTTATAGTTTGGAAGGGGAATCCCCTTCCAGCAACACCTCAGGTACCAATTGCTTTTCTGGGGTTGCTTGTCTTCTCTGTTTCTTAATGCCACTAGGACCACCTTGAGAGTCACTGGAGTCCTGTCTCGCAAAATAACTGTGGAGAGAGCTCTGTTTCTGGCGTCTCTTTAACACTTCCCTAAAATGGCCCAAGACTTTGTCACTGTACATGTTGCCAACATGGCTTGCAACAACCTTGTTAGGGTGATGTTTCTCCATAAAGCTTTCCTTTCTTACCCCAAAATAGTAAAAATCTCTTTAATTTCTGAAGAAGGCGCCTTCTTCCATCTCTCTTCCTCCTCCTCTGCAGCAAGATTCTGAGCTGCGATGTGTTGCTCTTCCTGCTGAAGCTCTTGCAGCTCCTCAGTGGTGAGCTCTTTGTTGTGGTCTTCCACCAATTCTTCCACATCCTCCAAACTCACATCCAACCCCATGGAACTCCCCAGTGCCACAATTGATTTTACAAACAGACATAGGCTCATCAGGGTCAGTCCCAAACCCTTCAAAATCCCTCTTGTCGACACAATCTGGCCACAATTTTCTCCAGCAGAGTTCAAAGTCCTGGTAGTCACTCCCTCCCAAGCCATACCTATAAGGGTTATGCAATGGAGGATGCTGAAGTGTTCTCTCCAAAATTCCCTTAGGGTCAAGTGAGTGTCTTTGGTCACAGTCAAGCACCTGTGAAACATTGCTTTTGTGTAGAGTTTTTTAAAGTTTGCAATGACCTGCTGGTCCATGGGCTGGAGGAGAGGAGTGGTATTCGGGGGCAAGAACTTTACTGTGATGAACCCAAACTCCTCGAAAATTAGGTCATCCAAGTTTGGAGGATGAGCAGGTGCATTGTCCATTACTAGCAGGCACTTGAGATCCAATTTCTTTTCCAGGAGATACTCCTTCACACTAGGGCCAAACACTTCATTGAACCACTCGACGAAAATTTTCCTTGTGACCCATGCCTTACTATTAGATTTCCAAAACACACACAATTTACTCTTCATTACATTGTTTTTCTTGAACACTCTGGGATTTTCAGAATGGTACACTAGTAATGGCTTCACTTTGAAATCCCCACTAGCATTAGCACAGAACATTAGCGTCAGCCTGTCTTTCATAGGCTTGTGTCCTGGCATTGCCTTTTCCTCTTGTGTAATGAAGGTCCTCTTTGGCATTTTCTTCCAAAAGAGGCCTGTTTCGTCACAGTTGAACACTTGTTCAGGTTTCAGTCCTTCAGCCTCTATGTACTCCTGGAATTCATGCACATATTTTTCAGCCGCCTTGTGGTTCGAACTGGCAGCCTCACCATGCCTTACCACACTGTGTATGCCAGTACAGTTCTTAAATCTCTCAAACCAGCCTTTGCTGGCCTTAAATTCACTCACATCAACACTATTTGCAGGCAATTTCTTTACCAAATCATCATGCAACTGCCTAGCCTTTCCACAAATAATTGAAGTCATAAGAGTATCTCCTGCTAATTGTTTCTCATGTATCCACACCAATAATAGCTTCTCAACCTCTTCGAGTACTGGTGATCTCATTTTTGTCAGCATAGTTACCCCCTTTGCAACAACAGCATCCTTGATTTCCTTTTTCTTGGCCACTATGGAACATAAGGTTGTGTAGGGTTTCTTATACATCCTGGCCAGTTCAGCCACACTTGTACCACTTTCATATTCTTCAATGATGGTTTTCTTAAATTCAATCGTATTTCTCACCTTCTTTACCACAGGCTTGGCACTAGGAGCTTTCTTTGGAGCCATGGTAGCTTATTTAGTACTTGCAAGCACTAAAATAAATGGAATATGAAATATTTCGCTGGAGCACGTGAGGGGACCTTCGCTCACTGGTAAACAATGCCAGACTGGCTGCCGCCACGGCTCACGCCGTGGGTACACGTCCCAGACGAATTACGACTCGCGAGTCAACTATGAAAAGCGAGCCCATGTTTATACGAAAATACCCCTGTGATTGGCCAAATTTACAATTGCCGGGAACTACGAAAAGCGAGGGACCACTGTGCAACTATAAAAAACACATGAAAAAACACTGCAAAGTCGCTGTTTTAATCGAAAATTACGGTCTCAGTTTTTTCCTCTCGCTATGCACTGTGTGCTGCAGGATTTGTTTTATGAGGTGCACACATACCACATAGATGTATTCTCTCATATCTAGGCTAAAATTTACCGCTCACAGCTTATAAGAGTGACCTGAGCTCATGACTTAGATCTACGGTTTGGACCCTTAACGTAAAGCCGTAGATCTACGGCACGGACCCTCAAAGGGTTAATTACAGCCTTCACCTAAGCTTTGATGTTTATGAAGTTTTATTTTGATCACTAACCATTCTGTGCCTGGAAAATATTTACCATATTTTCAGACTGATTTTAATGCTAAATCTAAATTATACAAAATTTTACTTCTTATGGTATTTCATGGACTGTTACGTGCATTAGTTTTTACTTATGTATGTAGTACATATTTCATGAAGCATGACACTCATGAGGGTCATTCAACTTAGTGGTGTTGAGTCTAACAGCATAACTAACCTGTCATGTGTTAAGGCTTGCTACAAAAGAGTTTACCAGCAATTGAGAATCATCCATTATTTGACATAAATCTTTGCAGGTAATTTTTGGAGAGGAGCGTGAGCAGACGGGCAACCTTCTCTCCATAGACCACAATGAAGGTGTAGTAAAGCTAGATCATGCAGATGTAAAGATGTTGCAACTTCGCTATTTGTGCAAAATGAAGTAACTTGCGCAATTTGAAATTTTATTTGAATTTTTTTTCCTTATATGAGCTGTTCTTTTGAAAAGGAAATAGGCTGTAATTGTTAAAACTGCAGCTTTTTAAGTAATACATAAACAAACAAGAACCTATGTAATCTTAACTGTTTATTGGATCAATATCTTGGCATTACTGTAGAGGTATGACCAAATTTAGGAAATATTGAGCGTATTGATCAGATTTTGTGATTTCTTGTGCTAATGAAGTTGGTAGAATTACAACAGAGATTTTAGGAAATATATGAAAATTTAGGAATATTTATGAAATATGGCTAAGGAGTAACTAGAACTAAATTAAAGTACATTGCTGTAGTAATAGTAAATGTAAGTATTCTAATTGTTTCAGGTCAAATTGAGTTTTCTTGGTCTATCAGACTTAGCTAAATGGAGTAAAAAAGTGCATGAAACATCTCTATAATGTAACATAAGGTCATAGGTAATCAGGATTTTTACTGTAGCAATTAGATTCTTCAAAACCTTTCATTTGTTAGGTTTTCTCATGATGCTTTTCTCTATTTTATCTTTCATTTTTGATGCAGATTTTCTTAATTGCTGTACTTACTCATTCATTGCCAAATAGTGTGTGTAAAGCCCCCCCAAAAAAAAAAAAGAAAAAAACAAAACAATACTGGTTACCTTCTTTTTATTTTGCACTGGCCATTTTCCACTGAGGTGGGTAACACTTTCACCATCATTCATTCAGTTGCTGTCTTGTTATAAGTTCAAATGATCTTCAGAACTTCAACATCCTCACCTTTTATGTAGTGCTGGCACTGTACTTTCCACCTCCAGGACTTGAGTCTGGCTAACCAGTTTCCGTCAATACCTTCACAACTGTTACTTTGCTCACACTCCAATAGGGCACCAAGCCATAAAATTACTTTTTTGTACTCTAAGATGCTCATTCAAGCCTGTTTGATGTTCATGATTCTACCACTCAAAACCTTCTTTACCCCCTCCCTCCAACTTTTCCTGGGACAACCCCTACCCCCTCATTTCTTTCACCTCAAGTTTATATAAACTCTTAGTAATCCCATTTTGCTCCATCCTTTTTAAATGCCCAAATCACACTGGTAATCAATTCTCAGCCTCTGAATTGTATTTTTGGTAACTTCACCCCATCTTTTAATCTCCGCCCTAAATTTTCTGGTTCTCGAATTTAATTCACTCCAGATGTCGATATGACAACCAAAATGGACAACAACCAAAGCAGTTTTTCCCATAAAGAATAATGTAAATAGAATTAATCCATTCCAGATCTCAAATGACAATATAATAATTTATTAAAAATGTGCTAACTACTACATAAAACTATAAAAGTGAATACTAAAAGAAACTCTAACTGAAATACTGTACAGTAAATGAAAATTTAACTGCCTCTTACAGTAAATAGAAATTTAACTGCCTCTCCTCTCTTAGAGAAGAGCTAATGGTGTACTGGAAGCAGGAGGTGAAGGAGAGGAGGGGGTATGTTATTGCTTAGAAGAGTACCCTTCTATTAATATGTTGGGCAACTGTTCTCCTGGTGTTTTCTCTTTGTCTCTTTTCACCGCTAATACCTTGTTCTGACTCGCTGGTTCTTTGTCTCTCTGAAAACCTGTCAATTGAGGTTTGTTTCAGGGTCCATTTTAACACTTCTTTAAATTGAGACATTACACTGTCATTGTACCAAGACATTTTTTTTCTTGAATTCCTTGTTTCAAAACTGATTTGCTCAACAAGTAATGCAGTTGACAGCTGAGGTTCCACTAAGTTTACCCCCACACATTGTTCTCAAAAGTGACATCTCCACTGCCTCCAGCCTCCTCCTCAATGCAAAGTTTCAAATCCATGCCTCACACCTATAAAGAGTGTTGGTACTACTATGCTCTGCTGTATTTCCCTATTTTGCCTCCTTAGGTAAACTTCTTTTCCTTAGATGCCTCAACACACCATCCACCTTTACTCCCCTTCGTTTATTCTGTGGTTCACCTTCTCTTTCGTTGACTGATCTATGTTCACTTTTAATTTTCTTCTTTTACATACCATGCAAAATTCCTCCAACCTTTGCAACTTCTTTCAGAATCTCATTGAACTGTGCCATTGATAAAGAACATCTGTGACAACTTCCTCCACTTGAGATCAGAATTATCTTTTAATCCAGCACCTGCCTCTGCCCGCTTTTCCTTAGCATTCACCTCTTTTACAACCGCACCTCTAAATGTGAGATTACACACCCATGTCTAAGGTTACTTTTACTGGTTACTAGTTCCCGTCTCTTCTATGTACCTTAACCTGAACCTCACTTCCTGCATGAAACTCTTCAACACTTTTAGTAATGGATTACCTATTCCACACATTTGCAACATCTCCCACATTGCTCGCCTATCCACCCTATCGTATGCCTTTTTCCTTACCTGTATCAAAGTATTGTTTACTCTTTCGCTTCAGTGTAAACACTAAGTCTACACATACCCCACCTTCCTAAATCCACCCTTCTACCCTGCAGTCCTGCATTCGATGATAATTCGTCTGTCACCATTACGCGGTACTTACATTCTCTCGTGTCCCCTTGTACCTTATACAAGGGATCTTTGCATGCCCTCTGCCAATTCTTAGGTACCTTCTCTCCTCATGCATTTACTGAACCAACTTACCAGCCACTAAAATGATATACCCACCCATTTTGTCTAACATCTCTTTTTTTTTTTTTTTCCATCCGCCTCATTTGCTTTACCCCTTTTCATTCTACCTCAAGTCTTGAGTATTTCTCCCATACACATCTGGGACTTGGTTACTCCAGTAAGATGTTATTCCTTCCTGCAAAATACATGAAATTACTACCTCCTTTTCTTTTGTACATTTAACAGCTCAACACATTTCCTCCATCTACCCAACACCTCTGCCTCCCAACATTATTTTTAACTGCCAAGTCCATTTGCTCCAAAACTGTTTATTGTTCTCAACAAAATTAGCTGATTAGGCTTCACCCATTCTCTTATATGTTCTCCTTTTGTTTGCTCTCTCACCACTATTTTAACCTGTATTACTTTCAGTTTAACTTATTGCACCACTCACCCATATATTTATTATTTTTTCTTGCAATATTTATATGTATCTGTCTATTGAAGTAATGTGAGACAAGAAAACTAAGTTCAATATACTTTTTTTTCATTGCTTTCTTAATATTTGTAATAATTTAGCTGCCCAAAAAGTTGCTTCAGAATAATCCTCAGTACTTCCGAAAGTTTGGGCTTCTTGGTTGTTTGCAAGATGATGATCAAGTAGAACATTAACAGTTAATAGGTAAGAGATACAAAATGCTTTTCTAAATTAGTTATCCTTGTTAGCATCTTGTATAATTAACAAGCATCAGGTAGTGTGCTTGTATATACTTTTGTATATAAAGGGGACTTGTAAACAATAGCAACTTGATAATCTGTTGCAACTAAAGTACTGATGGTCATTGCTGGCTGATTATGCTTCTTTTAGTTTATAATGGCAATTTTGTATATGAGGTTTGGACCTAAATCAAGAGAATATTTTATTTTTTATTTTGGAGAGGGTAGAAAGGATTTGTCAACAACTATCCTAGGATAGGCAGACTTTTGTCAGTGATTTATGTGATGTAAATCATTTAAAAAACCAACAAGTTGGAGAATGTGACACTTGTGCAACATTTGAGAATCATTATTGAAGAAATGTTTTGCCAGCCAGTGGCTTCTTCAGTCCAGTACAGAGAAGAACGGTGAAAGGTGAGGAGTGTGAGGTAATCAGTCCCTCAGTCGTCTCCAAAATGAGGGACTGATTACCTCTTAACTCCTCATCTTCCACACTTTTTTCTGTATTGGACTGAAAAAGCCACTGGCTGGCAAAACATTTCCTCAGTAAAGATTCCTAAATGTTGTATAAGTGTCACATTCTTCACTGTGATTTATGATGTACAGGGTGTTATGCATCACAAATAACTTGCTCATTTACCTGCTCTTCATATTAAAAGCTCTTCAAGAAGTCATATGTGATTCAACAAAATTGTGTGATATATTTTACATCTATTGCATATTTATCATGTGTAATTTTATTCGCTATACAATGATCATTTACCTCCCTTGTTCTTTTTCTTGGCGAATTTGTGTACACATTCTTGAAGTTCTGTAGTTAATCCTGTACCATTATTATGCTATTTGTCAGCATATTAGCCTTTTGTAAACATATCTGTGTAGAAGATGCTTGATGGTATTGAAAGAACTAAATTCGTTGACGATGAAAAAATATTACTCAACAAGATTGTTTTATTTTTACGTCTAGAATTCACATGGCTGCATCAAATATATTGATGGAACATTTATATTGAAGAGTGAAATAAACTTGATTTTTTCATGCACTTGTTTTAATGTACCATTCGTTGATATGTACAGATATGATGCTTACAAAATTATTGAAAGTACTTCATATGCTTCTCTCGTTTTGATTATACATATAAGGCCAGTGCACAGGTGCCAGTTGGTTATTAAGTAATTGTAAAAGATTAAACTGGTATGGGGGTAGATAGGAAAATGTTTAGATACAAGCATATGATAATGTTGTCTTGGTTTGTTTATAATGATCTAAACTAGTAGGAATATTACAGTACAATAAGAGAGTAACTTATTTTTTATATCTCATACACTAGTATTAAACACCTGTATTCATGCTTGAAATTTTAGATTTTTTTTTTAATACGTCAGTCGTCTCCCACTGAGGCAGGGTGACCCAAAAAGAAACAAAATCCCCTAGGTACCTTCCCTTCTTTCATACATTTATTAAACAAAAATACCAACCACTCCAACACTATATCACCCCCTGCTTTTAACATTTCAGTCATGACTCCGTCAGTTCCAGCTGCTTTACCCCTTCCATTCTACGTAATGCCTTGCACACCTCCCCCACAGTCACATCCTCCTCTTCTTCACTCCTGAAAGATGTTATACCTCCCTGGCCAGTGCATGAAATTACCACCTCCCTTTCTTCATCGACATTTAAAAGTTCCTCAAAATATTCCTGCCATCTACTCAATACCTCCAGTTCCCCATCAACTAACTACCGTACTCTTTTTTTAACTGACAAATTCAGTCGTTCCCTAGGCTTTCTTTACTTGTTTATCTCACTCCAAAATTTTTTCTTATTTTCAGCAAAATTTCTTGACTGTGTGTCTCCCACTCTTTCATCTGCTCTCGTTTTGCACTCTCTCACCACTCTCTTCACCTTTCTTTTACTCTCCATATACTCTGCCCTTCTTATAAGACTTCTGCTTTGTAAAAACCTCTCATAAGCTACCTTTTTCTCTTTTATCACACCCTTTACTTCATCATTCCACCAATCACTCCTCTTTCCTCCTTCACCTACCCTCCTATAGCACAAACTTCTGCCCCACATTCTAATACTGCATTTTTTAAAACTATTCCAACCCTTGTCAACCCCCCCACTACTCATACTCGCACTAGTCCACCTTTCTGCCAATAGTTGCTTATATCTCACCCTAACTTCCTCCTCCCTTAGTTTATACACTTTCACCTCTTTCTTAACCCTTTCAGGGTCCACAGGTCCTCTCAGATTCCCCCAAATTTCAAAAAAAAAAAAAATTATTTTTTCTTATAAAAAGATAGAGAATCTTTTCCTGATCATAATGACACCAAAAGTACGAAATTTGTTGGAAAACTTAGGGAATTATGCTCTCGTGAAGTTAGCAGTCTCAACGCTGCTTACTCATCGGCGATTTGCCTACTTTGAGCCCTATTTTCGGCCAATTCCAATGTACTAGTCGACAAAAATCATAACTATTTCGCTAGAACTCCATTTTTTCTATCGAATGAGTACAAGAAACCACCAATTTACCGACTTCAATTATCCAATACAGTGGTCAGAATTTAGCATTTTTGCCAATTTCACACAAATTTCAAAAGATGCCAATTTCCAAGTAAGGTCCAGAATAAACAAAGACATTCCTGGCACTAAAATAGCATTTCCTCTGTTCATTAGTCATGTCCCCAGGCCCCTCTTATATTTCTTTTGCTTTCTACTTTGAATTTTTATTCTCACACAAAAAAAAATAAGATTTACTGTTATGCAGACTACTGCATTAGTGTAGAAATGGTATAAATAATATCAGTGCACTTGTGAAAGAATATTAGACTCACCAGTTGACGTGTATTGAACGCTTAGCATGATTTGTTTACTTTTGAACTTTGGTAAAAATCGAACATTTCTGCTAATTTGAGCTCAATTTCAAGGTACTTTTCATTGTAAAACCAGTCAAAATCATCTCAATTTCTGTAATATATCTTCCATTCTATACAATGAGACCAGGAAAACTAGAATACAACAATAAATACCATACGAAAATATAGTGCAAAGTCGCTGTTTTAATCCAAAAACACGGTCAAAGTTTTTTTTTGTCATTATGCACTGTGTGCTGCAGAATTTTTTTTATACTGCACACACTGACCACATAGACCCATTCTTTCATATGTAGGCCTACCAGCTTTCTCTCACTAGATTTGAAGGCGCTAGAATTTATGCGTACTAGTACGTCATGGACACTGGTGAGTAAGCCGTACTAGTACGGCCAAAACCCTGAAAGGGTTAATTGCTGTTGCCATTTTCCTTTTTTCCCATCTACCTCTTCCTCCTACTGTAGCTACAACTAAATAATGATCCGATATATCCGTTGCCCCTCTATAAACATGTACATCCTGAAGCCTACCCATCAACCTTCTATCCACAAATACATAATCTAACAAACTACTTTCATTACATGCTATGTCATATCCCGTATACTTATTTTTTCCTCTTTTTCATAAAATATGTATTACTTATTACCAAACTTCTTTCTACACATAGCTTAATTAAAGGCTCCCCATTTTCATTTACCCCTGGTATCCCAAATTTACCTACTACTCCCTCCACAACATTTTTACCCATAATTTTAGCGTTTTTTCTTTTCTTTTCTTTCTCAACAAGTCGGCAGTCTCCCACAGAGGCAGGGTGACCCAAAAAGAAAGAAAATCCCCAAAAAGAAAATACTTTAGTCATTATTCAACACTTTCACCTCACTCATACATAATCACTGTGTTTGCAGAGGCACCCAGATACAACAGTTTAGAAGCATATACAGTATAAAGATATATAACATATCCCTTCAAACTGCCACTATCCCAGACCCCTTCTTTAAAGTGCAGGCATTGTACCTCCCCCCCCCCCCCCCCCCCAAAAAAAAAAAAATCCAAGACTCTGCCAGGAGTGAAACCTGAGTCTGCTGCTAAATTTTTAAATTTAAATTTTAGGTATGGTAAATTCATTTGTATTGTTTGTAATTAATTGATAAATTGCGTCAAGTGCATGGGAGTGAGTGGCTTAGATTATTTGTGAATACATTTCCTTTTACCTACCCAATTACAGTGGAACCCCGAATATTGGCCATAATCTGTTCCAGGTCAGCCTAAATTCAAAACAACTTAATTTCGAAGCAATATTTCCCATAAGAATTAATGTAAATACAATTACGTAATCCATTCCAGACACCCAAAAATAATATAAAAAAAAATACATTTTGTAAAGTTTAACCCTTTGACTGTCGTGGCCATATATATACGTCTTACGAGCTACTGTGTTTGACGTATATATACTCATAAATTCTAGTGGCTTCAAATCAAGAAGGAGAAAGCCGGTAGGCCCACATGTGAGAGAATGGGTCTGTTTGGTCAGTGTGCACCATATAAAAAAAATCCTGGAGCACGCAGTGCATAATGAGAAAAAAAAAACTCCGACCGTGTTTTTAATTAAAATGCCGACTTTGTGGTCTATTTTCGTATAGTATTTATGGTTGTATTCTCGTTTTCTTGGTCTCATTTGATAGAATGGAAAACATATTATAGAAATAGAGATAATTTTGAGTGATTTTTCTATAAAAAGAAACTGGAAATGGAGCTCAAAGTAGGGGAAATGTTTGATTTTTGCCGATGTTCAAAAGTAAACAGATGTTGTCATTGTCCAATAAATGTCCAACTAGCCATTCTAATATGCAGTCATGAATGGGTTGATGTTATTTATACAATTATTACAGTATTGCAGTAGTCTGCATAATAGTAAATCTTCTATTTTTTGTTTGAATAAAAATTCAAAATAGAAAGCAAGAGTAATATCAGATGGGCCTGGAGACATGACTGATGAACAAAGAAAATGTTATTTTAGAGCCAGGAATGTCTGCATTGTTCATTCTGGACCTTATTTTGAAATTGTCATATTTTTTCATTTTCGTAAAATTGGCCAAATTGCAAATTTCTGACCACGTTATTGGGTAGTTGAAATTGGTAAATGGGCAGTTTCTTGTACTCAATCGATAGAAAAAATGGAGTTCTAAAGAAATAGCTATGAATTTGGTCGACTGAAACAAAGGAATTAGCCAAAAATAGGGCTCAAAGTAGGTGAAATTGCCAATTTGTAAATATCGCCGAGGTCGCTAGCTTCGCGAGAGCGTAATTCCGTCAGTTTTCCATCAAATTTCGTTTTTGGGTATCATTACAATCGGGAAAAGATTCTCTATCATTTCATAAGTTTTTTTTTTTTTTTTTTTTTTTTTTTTTTTTTTTTTTTTTTTTTTTTTTTTTTTTGAAATTTTGCGACACCAGGAGACACCTCAGGATTGGGGGTTGCGACAGTCAAGGGGTTAATTATAGTTTTACATACACAAAACAATGATAAATATAAACATTACATACCTTTATTGAAGACTCTTGTTGGCATATGGAAGAAGGCGAGGAGGGGAGAGGGAGTTGGGGTGGTTTGGAAGGGGAATCCCCCTCCATAAGGACTTCAGGTAACGAGTCCCTCTGGAGTTACTTCCCTTCTTTTTTTTAATGGCACTAGGACCAGCTTGAGAGTCACTGGACCCCTGTTGCACAAAACATCTGTCCAGAGAGCTCTGTTTCTGGCACCTCTTTAAGATTTACCCGAATTAGGCCAAGGTTTTGTCACTGAACATGTTGCAGATATGGCTTGTCTCACCTTGGTCAGGGTGATATTTCTCAGCAAAAGCCTGCACCCTATTCTACATTGTACAAATCTCCTTAATCTCTGAAGAAGGCACCTTTGCCAGGATAGAAGTGATTGTTGATTTGTTTTTGCCATACATCCTTGCAAGTTGGAACACACGCACACCACTTGCATATTTTTCAATAACTTCTTTCTTAAATTCCATCGTGTTTCTCACTTTCTTTATCAAAGGGCTGGCACTCTGAACTTTCTTTGGGCCCATGGTGACTTATTTCACAGTTGCATTTAATAAACAAGCACAAAAACCAATGGATTTTATGGAAATGTTTGGATGAATGCGTGGAGTATAT